GTTTAAAATTAAGATTGCATGGCAAAAATCCTCGCATATGCATTGTAAAAGGTAAATGCTTAATCAATATAATTGAATTCTTTCATAAAAAATGGTTTTACATCTGTAGGCACAAAATATATGATTTTGATCCCTTCCATATTTGTCACTATGTCAATTTTTCACACTTGCATAAAAAACCTGTTGAATTGATACAATATAATTATACATCAAATTACCGCCAAAAAAAAAAAAATTTGCAATTGATTGTCAACTTTAAAAAGATATGGACAAATAATATTGTATGGAATTTGACAAACATATTACACTTTTATCCCCAATTAAAAAAAAAGACTTAAGCTTTAAATTGAAATTAAAAAATGACACTAGCTTATTAAATGAATATGCTAAACATAACTCATCAATACAACCACTTTTAGACTTTTAACCTAGAAGTTACGTCATCAAAGAACACATCGTTATTTAACCAGTTAAACAAATAAGTGACCAATTGATTAAACTATTCTAACAGCGTAAGTGTAGCAAAGGGCATGAATCATTACAAAATTACCCCAGTCAATGAATAGACGACAAGAATAGTCGTTAGGAGGGTTTGAGTATAAGAGTTGTACTCTGTAGGAGATTGACGTGAGAGGAGATGGGTTTGAAGAGGTATTTTTAGTTTTTTTTTAATCCAAACGGATATAATAAATTAGATGGGTAATATAAATATGAGATAAAAATCGTCTGGGTCATTAGGTTTGATCCGTTCAATACTAATTAATAAAAAAAAAATTTCTTATTAACCTTAAAAGCTTTTTTTATAAGACTAGATTACAATTAATACGTCATAGATATTTCCTATTTAGTTAAGAACTAAATTAGGTAGATTTTGACAATAGATTTTGAGCATCTTTGTTTGATAGTCATTAGGTTGTAATTCAACTGTTTACTTAAAAAGTACTCACTAGAGACTATGGTACAGAGTTTTCATGATCTAATGGCTACTATAAAAAAAGAGAAAATTGAAAATTTAGGGTGAGTTCCCCTAGATGGACTTATAATGACTTGAGTCCTAGAAGGAAACTTACTTGGGAGTAAGTCCATGTTTAAACTTATATGTAAGAACTTAAATCCACTTATTTTTAAATCTCAAAATTACCCTTAACGATATTAGTTTTGTCCAGTTATGAAAAGTCACAGGTTAGATCATTGAGATACATGTGAAAACATTTGATTGAGTTATATATGTAAACCGTTTATTAAATATTATGAAAATTAATGGAAAGTTTTATATGAAAGTTATATATTTTGATAGTTATATATGAAAAACTTAATGTACGAATAAATTATTGGTCTATTAAGTCAAAATCAGATCACAAAATTTCCTTAACAACAGTAATGCATAATATAAGGAGGTTGAACAATATCAATAGAGTTCAGTAACACGAATGTTAATATATAGTAACATTTATGTTACTATATAATTGAAGTTATAATTAGGGTCGTGTTATTAATACAGTTGTGTTAATATACTGACACTAATATTATTATAATGAATTTTAACATACAATTACAAACTTTGAGACGTATATTATATAACATACATTTTAATATTCACAGTAACATTAAAAATTTGTGCTTAGTAACACATATAATTTTACAAATTACAAGACAATAATTTTTTTTACAATAACATTAACTTTCGAATGATTTTAATGAAAATACGATTTACAAATTAAAAATTTGTAAAATGACGAGTAGTAACACACAATCGACAGTTAAATTACGACACTCAACATCAATTGTGAACATCAAAATATCGAAATTCTAAATTTCATTCTTCGGTTCACGTACAGTAATATGAAATTTTTTCACAGTAACACAACCAAAGAATACTTGATTGTTTTCACAACAAAAAAATCAACAAAATCAAAATTTATATCACTTTTAATTTAGTACTAAGATAAGCGTTCTTTTGAATCTTAGTTGCAAGATTAATGCCTATTTTAACAGAATTAAACCCTCAATTTTTATTACTTTTTTACCATGTTATTATTTTTTTGTGAGCATGTTACTATTTTTTTAATGATCATGTCACTGTATTTGTTAAGTATGTTAGTATTGTTATTTTTTAAATATTAATATTCAATATTAATATTTTGTCAATAGAGTCCAAATTAAACTAGAATAGTAAATTGAAATTGCATTTTATGAAATGTAATGTGTTATAAATTTGAATATGAACTGTTTTTTGGTAAATGCTTATTTCTTTTTTTTCAGATAAGAAAATATTGTGGCTTAGAAGATTGTAAGCGGATTTGAAGGCGAGTATGAAGGAGATGTATATAATATGACTGATTATTGTGTCCATAAACGTTATTTATAATATTTATACAATTAAGGGTTATTATAGTAAAATTGACAAAAAATTGACTTAAAACCAAATAAGTTTCATTGATGGATATCTCCAAATAAGTCCATATATGAGGACCGGCCTCCAAATTTTTCATAAAAAAACTTCAAAATTTGAGGGTCGGCCTAGCCCCCTAACCCTAGTGTCCTCAGCCACTTATTATTACGTGGTGATAATTAAGCAAAATAAACTCCACTACTTCAAATAACCACTCTTCCCGATAGTAACCACCACATATTTAATAAAATAAGATTTACTTGTATATTTATTTATTATTATCGATTATGTGACAAATTTTTTGGAGTGAGAAAAAAACATATTATACTCTCGACAAATTTTTCATTGAATATACTCTTATCAATCGTAAGAAATAATATATTCTGTTAAAAAGAGTTTACTTTTAATGGATAAATCAATCATTTCTCCACGAGGATCGGAAAAACCCATGTTATGCTCTTGTCAATTAAGGAAAAAATAAGCAAGGGAATAGCCATGGACAATTCCTGGGCCCACAATGATTGGAGGGTCTTATGCTTGCCCTTTTGTCACCGCATTATTCCAATGTGGCAAACCTATATGATAATTTGTTAAATAAATTTTAAAAAATAATAATAAAATTAAAACATGATGGTATCACGCCCAAAGGATATGAATACAATAATCATACATGAAAACATCCAAAAAGGAATCTTTGCCGGCACTAGACACAGTACACTTGGAATCATATCAGCACAACCACTGGATACACATACATATATGCACACCCACCAAACATATACATGCACTCAGACTCTGTGTGTGAGAGTGAGTGAGAGAGAGAGAGAGAGAGAGAGAGAGAGAGAGAGAGTTGCATAAATTGGAAGAGGAATGGGGAAGGTGGCGGAGGAGAAGGTGGGGATGGAGATGACTGAGGGAGGAGTGGTGGTGGTGAACCCAAAGCCCAGCAAAGGACTGATTACTTCGAGAGCCATAGACTGGTTGGAGAAACTAATAGTGAAGCTCATGTATGACCCTTCACAGCCTCACCATTATCTTTCCGGCAACTATGCTCCGGTGCCAGAGGAAACTCCTCCTTGCAAGGACCTCCCAGTCAGAGGTCATCTTCCGGTGAGGCCAATTATCAATTTTTTTTTTAATTTTTTGACTACTAAAGAATGGCAATGAATGGAGCATGTAGTTGAAAGGTATCATCAATCCAGTGACGTGCACAAAATATGTGCAGTAAAATTTGTATCAAATCATTCACCGTCGGTTGATCAATAGGTCCTACGTTGATCTAACGACTACGATTCAGTTGGTCCTGGTTTTGGTGTATATAGATTTATCATAATATAAATCTTGTTTGCATCGATTAAAGATGGACAAATTACATTTTAACCATCTTTATTATGGTTTGTTTTTCATTGTTCCCTCGACCATCATTTTTTTTATATTGCATCTTCAACTTTGGTTATCAATTTCACATCACTCCAATATTAAACTTTACTAAAAATTTGACCAAAATTATTTCATTTATCCCCTGAACTAGGTGTGTATTTTTTTTTTATTTTGTCAAGACACGGGTCATTTTTCATCCAAAAGATAACTAACTTTTGTTTTTATGGCAATTTCAAACCTTATACTAGGTCAAAATTATTTATTTAATCTAAATCCCAAAAAAAAAAATCAAAATCCATTTAATTCTAAAAATATTCACACAATACTAGGTCAAGAAATAAAAAATAAGAAAATCATATATTTTTTATGATTCTATTCGTATCTAACACTAACCCGGCTTATTAATTATTTTATTCAAATTGGCAATGTTATTTTTGGTGACGTGTTAGATTGGTGTCAACTGGAGTGATTGACCCCTCCCTCTATGTAGTCCACACTTTCTTAATCTCTAACATTATTTAATTAAATTATGAAGTTTGTATCTGTTTAATTATATTCATGAAAATTAAGTAACTCTTAATTTATTAATTCAATGCTAACGTCGTTACAACATTAGGGTTTTCAAAGTGCTACCATGGCATGCAGAGGGATAGGTTCAAAAACGATTGCTACGAAAGAAAAAAAAAATAGAAGTTTATTAATTTTGGGCACAATCCTTAAGTTTAGATAATATGATAAGAAGATCCCTGATATTAGAGAAATTATGAAAACACCCCTCAAGTTTTGTGTGTCATAATAGAGAAACCCTTCTGGTTGATATATTCAAATTTCCAGATTTAAAACCCACATTTCTCCCTGTTAAATATATTTTTTTTTTCACGTTTTCAAAATTTGAGAAGAATTGTTTTCAATGCTAGGATATGGTTACGATATCAAGATCTTATTTTGATTTGTTTGTGACTGTTAATCTTAAAAATACCAAAACATAGTAGTTGCAGAGTTGGACCATTAAGGCATGTTTGGCATGTGGGTTTGGGAGGGTTTTGGAACATGGGTTAGAGAATAAATCCCTCAAACCCATGTTTGACAAATACACATCTAGCTCAGGGTTTAAAACCCAGCTCGGTTTATGCCCAGTCATGAAACCCAAGTTCATGAGTTTCATGAAATTCAGGGGGGTTTTCATATGTGGGGGTTTAACATGCAAATACCCCTGTATATCCTATNAATGGGGAAGGTGGCGGAGGAGAAGGTGGGGATGGAGATGACTGAGGGAGGAGTGGTGGTGGTGAACCCAAAGCCCAGCAAAGGACTGATTACTTCGAGAGCCATAGACTGGTTGGAGAAACTAATAGTGAAGCTCATGTATGACCCTTCACAGCCTCACCATTATCTTTCCGGCAACTATGCTCCGGTGCCAGAGGAAACTCCTCCTTGCAAGGACCTCCCAGTCAGAGGTCATCTTCCGGTGAGGCCAATTATCAATTTTTTTTTTAATTTTTTGACTACTAAAGAATGGCAATGAATGGAGCATGTAGTTGAAAGGTATCATCAATCCAGTGACGTGCACAAAATATGTGCAGTAAAATTTGTATCAAATCATTCACCGTCGGTTGATCAATAGGTCCTACGTTGATCTAACGACTACGATTCAGTTGGTCCTGGTTTTGGTGTATATAGATTTATCATAATATAAATCTTGTTTGCATCGATTAAAGATGGACAAATTACATTTTAACCATCTTTATTATGGTTTGTTTTTCATTGTTCCCTCGACCATCATTTTTTTTATATTGCATCTTCAACTTTGGTTATCAATTTCACATCACTCCAATATTAAACTTTACTAAAAATTTGACCAAAATTATTTCATTTATCCCCTGAACTAGGTGTGTATTTTTTTTTTATTTTGTCAAGACACGGGTCATTTTTCATCCAAAAGATAACTAACTTTTGTTTTTATGGCAATTTCAAACCTTATACTAGGTCAAAATTATTTATTTAATCTAAATCCCAAAAAAAAAAATCAAAATCCATTTAATTCTAAAAATATTCACACAATACTAGGTCAAGAAATAAAAAATAAGAAAATCATATATTTTTTATGATTCTATTCGTATCTAACACTAACCCGGCTTATTAATTATTTTATTCAAATTGGCAATGTTATTTTTGGTGACGTGTTAGATTGGTGTCAACTGGAGTGATTGACCCCTCCCTCTATGTAGTCCACACTTTCTTAATCTCTAACATTATTTAATTAAATTATGAAGTTTGTATCTGTTTAATTATATTCATGAAAATTAAGTAACTCTTAATTTATTAATTCAATGCTAACGTCGTTACAACATTAGGGTTTTCAAAGTGCTACCATGGCATGCAGAGGGATAGGTTCAAAAACGATTGCTACGAAAGAAAAAAAAAATAGAAGTTTATTAATTTTGGGCACAATCCTTAAGTTTAGATAATATGATAAGAAGATCCCTGATATTAGAGAAATTATGAAAACACCCCTCAAGTTTTGTGTGTCATAATAGAGAAACCCTTCTGGTTGATATATTCAAATTTCCAGATTTAAAACCCACATTTCTCCCTGTTAAATATATTTTTTTTTTCACGTTTTCAAAATTTGAGAAGAATTGTTTTCAATGCTAGGATATGGTTACGATATCAAGATCTTATTTTGATTTGTTTGTGACTGTTAATCTTAAAAATACCAAAACATAGTAGTTGCAGAGTTGGACCATTAAGGCATGTTTGGCATGTGGGTTTGGGAGGGTTTTGGAACATGGGTTAGAGAATAAATCCCTCAAACCCATGTTTGACAAATACACATCTAGTTCAGGGTTTAAAACCCAGCTCGGTTTACGCCCAGTCATGAAACCCAAGTTCATGAGTTTCATGAAACTCAGGGGGGTTTTCATATGTGGGGGTTTAACATGCAAATACCCCTGTATATCCTATATACCCCATATATACAAATTGGTTAAGGGGTACAATAGTCATTTAAATACAAATATATTATCATAATAATCGTATATTCTTGCGCATACTAATAATGGGTATGAACAATATTAAATGTTGAATTCTATCTTTGAATCCTATCTTTGGGTTTAGAAGAATTTGGACAAGTCAATCTAAATCTCTCCCAAAAAAACATATCAAACAGCCCTTAATGTTAGTGGCATGGAGAGGGGTTTTAACATGCTCACAGATTACTCTTCCTACATGAAGAGAACCAAATGGCAGCCCCAGCAATATAACCTTCTATAGTGATCGCTGCTGATTCTATGTTAATACATTTCTTTACATATCTAAGTTCATGATCTCTACCAAGTGAACTCCTCACATTTCCCTCTCTTTGTTTGCTGTTGGAGCTGAATTCTTTTATGTTTTTCATTAACTTGCCTTTTGAAAATTAGCTTACGAGGGAAGGGTGTCCAAAAATTTATATACACACATTTAACCTTATTTTAAACTAATGTGAAACATTCGACCATGCTTTCATAGCCAACGTCCACAGCGGCCCGCTCTATTGACACTGACCCAACGGTAGTCCTTTTTTTTTAGCAGCTCCACTCACCTATCAATATTCAATGAGGTAGTACTATGCCCATACATAATACCAAGTCATTTTAATCTAGCCAATAGGTTGCCCCTTCCGTAAGCCGACTACGAGCCACAGCTATACTACGTTCAATCCCATACTCGATGTGGTAACTAACTCTGATACCAGTTGTTATGAACTTATAGAACTTGACTCCGAAAAACCGGCTTGTAGGGTGCCAAGAGTTCACATACACACATCTAATCTTATTTTTAATCGATGTGGAATTGTAACACTTTTGATGCCAAATNTTATAGAACTTGACTCCGAAAAACCGGCTTGTAGGGTGCCAAGAGTTCACATACACATCTAATCTTATTTTTAATCGATGTGGAATTGTAACACTTTTGATGCCAAATGACATGAAATTTTGAAAACGACTTGCAGGTGTGCCTCAATGGAGAGTTTGTCAGGGTTGGTTCTAATGCAAAATTCCCCCCAGTGGCTGGATATCACTGGTATACTTTTCTTGTCTCTCTCAATGTTAAGCTGTTCTGCATTGTTGTTGTTATTTGTTTGTTGGGTGATATTTAAAAATTGTGCTCCTGTTAATTGAATATTGCTTAGTACTTATTTCCTTTGTTGCTCTCTGCGCAGGTTTGATGGAGATGGGTAGGTGCTGTTCATTCAAGACTGGGAATGTTTACATAGTTTATGTCAAACAATAGGGAAAGAGAATATCAACATTTCACTCCANTTAGATAATATGATAAGAAGATCCCTGATATTAGAGAAATTATGAAAACACCCCTCAAGTTTTGTGTGTCATAATAGAGAAACCCTTCTGGTTGATATATTCAAATTTCCAGATTTAAAACCCACATTTCTCCCTGTTAAATATATTTTTTTTTTCACGTTTTCAAAATTTGAGAAGAATTGTTTTCAATGCTAGGATATGGTTACGATATCAAGATCTTATTTTGATTTGTTTGTGACTGTTAATCTTAAAAATACCAAAACATAGTAGTTGCAGAGTTGGACCATTAAGGCATGTTTGGCATGTGGGTTTGGGAGGGTTTTGGAACATGGGTTAGAGAATAAATCCCTCAAACCCATGTTTGACAAATACACATCTAGTTCAGGGTTTAAAACCCAGCTCGGTTTACGCCCAGTCATGAAACCCAAGTTCATGAGTTTCATGAAACTCAGGGGGGTTTTCATATGTGGGGGTTTAACATGCAAATACCCCTGTATATCCTATATACCCCATATATACAAATTGGTTAAGGGGTACAATAGTCATTTAAATACAAATATATTATCATAATAATCGTATATTCTTGCGCATACTAATAATGGGTATGAACAATATTAAATGTTGAATTCTATCTTTGAATCCTATCTTTGGGTTTAGAAGAATTTGGACAAGTCAATCTAAATCTCTCCCAAAAAAACATATCAAACAGCCCTTAATGTTAGTGGCATGGAGAGGGGTTTTAACATGCTCACAGATTACTCTTCCTACATGAAGAGAACCAAATGGCAGCCCCAGCAATATAACCTTCTATAGTGATCGCTGCTGATTCTATGTTAATACATTTCTTTACATATCTAAGTTCATGATCTCTACCAAGTGAACTCCTCACATTTCCCTCTCTTTGTTTGCTGTTGGAGCTGAATTCTTTTATGTTTTTCATTAACTTGCCTTTTGAAAATTAGCTTACGAGGGAAGGGTGTCCAAAAATTTATATACACACATTTAACCTTATTTTTAACTAATGTGAAACATTCGACCATGCTTTCATAGCCAACGTCCACAGCGGCCCGCTCTATTGACACTGACCCAACGGTAGTCCTTTTTTTTTAGCAGCTCCACTCACCTATCAATATTCAATGAGGTAGCACTATGTCCATACATAATACCAAGTCATTTTAATCCAGCCTATAGGTTGCCCCTTCCGTAAGCCGACTACGAGCCACAGCTATACTACGTTCAATCCCATACTCGATGTGGTAACTAACTCTGATACCAGTTGTTATGAACTTATAGAACTTGACTCCGAAAAACCGGCTTGTAGGGTGCCAAGAGTTCACATACACATCTAATCTTATTTTTAATCGATGTGGAATTGTAACACTTTTGATGCCAAATGACATGAAATTTTGAAAACGACTTGCAGGTGTGCCTCAATGGAGAGTTTGTCAGGGTTGGTTCTAATGCAAAATTCCCCCCAGTGGCTGGATATCACTGGTATACTTTTCTTGTCTCTCTCAATGTTAAGCTGTTCTGTATTGTTGTTGTTATTTGTTTGTTGGGTGATATTTAAAAATTGTGCTCCTGTTAATTGAATATTGCTTAGTACTTATTTCCTTTGTTGCTCTCTGCGCAGGTTTGATGGAGATGGGTAGGTGCTGTTCATTCAAGACTGGGAATGTTTACATAGTTTATGTCAAACAATAGGGAAAGAGAATATCAACATTTCACTCCACTAATATATCTGTTCTCAGCATGATTGTCTCCGTACACAATGGTTTAATTGAAATGACATCACTATCGCTGCAAGTGACCCGAGTTGTTCATGAATACCTTGTATTCAGCTAAACTTAAAGAGCTTGTTTACAATTGTTTATTTGGTAAATGAACAGGGCTCGAGCCTAATTTTAGAACTCGTTTATCAAATGAGCCAACCTCAAACATGCAATTGCTCAGCTTGTATAGGATTTGCTTGGCTCGGGTTTTATAATATAGAAGTACTATTATATGTCAAATAATGCTGGTTTCTCTTCTAATGTCGCATCTATGAAACATATATATGTGTTTATGTGGGTACACATGTAATATAGTCCTTGTCACTCCTTGCATGCCTAAATCATCTGCTCCACCAAGCTTTGAGTTTGACAGTTCATAGATATATATCTATAAACTTGGATGTGTCATTACCAACTGCATTGCAATCTGCATTTGCATAATGTGGAATTCTTTTGAAATATACATTCAGTGAATTGCAAATTAATTTGATCGAAGATGATAATTGATTCCTCTTTCATCAAACATCGTTTCTATTCATCAGTTTGTTGTGTGCTAGGTGGTTATATTCATGTTCTGAGTTAGGTTTGCGAGCTTCCTAATAGTTGGGGAAATTTTTCGTAGGTTGAATGTTGTTTGAATTGATATATTGCGATCCATACTTCAAATATGGCTGTGAATGCTCTTTGTTTCTGCAGCATGATCCATGGTTTGCGCATAAAAGATGGAAAAGCAACATATGTCTCCCGCTATGTGAGGACATCTCGACTTAAGCAAGAAGAGTTTTTTGGAGGAGCTAAATTTACAAAGGTATACCTCTGCTTACCTAAGCCACCTTTGTTGGATTTCTCTGTTTCTAGTCTTTTCTTTCTTTTGCTTCCTCTTTCCTTCTTTCTTTCTTTCTTTTTTACTTTTCATTTTTTCCTGCTTTCAGTAACCCTCATATTGAAATGACGAAAAATGTCCTGCTTCTGTGGGTGATCCTTGTTGTGTTTATTAGTCCTTCCTTAGGAGCTATGCTTTTAACTTTGAATGCATTAAAGAGAGGGACAACAACACCAAGCAGTGAAATATTTTTTCTGGATATTCCGGTGAGAATACGAAATAGTTATTACTGGTGTCTATATATTATGAATCGTCTCAATGAAGCGTCTGTTAGAATAGTTATTATATATAGACTTAGGGGTAGTTTAGTCATTTGTTTTCTTTTATGTTGCCCTAACTTAATTTACTATATAAAGACCTCTTATATGTAGTTTTCCTTTAAACTTTATTCTAGCTAATTGTGCCTCAATAATATTCTCTTCTTTCTTCCTCTTACTTTTCTTTGATTAATCAAAGTTAACATAGTATCAGAGCATGGTTTCGATCTAAAATATATATTGTAGCACCATAATAATTTAGTTGGAGGAAGAATATATTCTTAGGTTGTGTGATTTGAGGGCTAGTGATTGGTGGATTACTATTTTTTTGTAATTCCAAGGACTGTGAACAATGCCAAAAACATTGTTCACTAGATGAACAGTGTCGAAAGTACTGTTCACATGCTGTGAATGGTATCGACGTTACTGTTCATACTGTGAATAGTGTCGGATTTCGATTTTTAGTGTTTTTTTGGTGTTTGCTACTGTCTTTCTGTTTTGCTGTTTTGCTACTGTTTTACTACCTCTGTTTGTTTTCTGAACTTTTAAAAGTTATGGAATTTGGATTGTCTAGTTGATGGATTGCTAGTTTGATTTATTAGCTTGAGATGCTTGTATTTTTGACTTGCTGTTATCTCTTCTCTTCTGCTGGTGCTTCTTCTTCTTCTGGTTGCTAGTCTGGTTGTTTCTTCTTCATTTGCTGCTATTGCTTTGGACTTTTGGACTGGTTTGTTGATTAGTTGGTTTTGTGCATTGGTGAGTTGTCACGTTGCTGGTTTTTGATTTGTTCGTTTGGGCTTACTATTTGACATAGCGTTGCATTATTTCGCACTGAATAAGTAGTAAACTTTTGTTTCCATTTGCATTGTTTCACACTGATTAAGTAGGAAACTTTTGTTTCCACTTTTGATTGGTGGGTTTGAGCCTTTGGGGCTGATTTTGTGAACGAACTGTTGGGTGAGTATTTGATTTGTAAAGTTGTTAAGTTGATTTGTGGCGAACTTTGGATTGTTTGGCGTTGGCTAATTCTTTTGGTTCTAGTTTCTGATTTTGATTACTGCTGGTTTGGTACTAGTTCTAGTTTTTTGTTTTTTTTTTTTTTTGTTGGGATTTGTTTTGTTGAGCATTGTTGCTAGTGGTTTTTGTTGAGCCTTGGTTTTCTGTTGGACCTCTCATTGCTATTTGATCATCTCTGGAACTTCGTGCTTACTCTGATGCGGATTGGGCTGATGACTTTATGGATCGCAAGTCCACTACTGGTTTCTGTCTCTTCATTGGAGATTGTCTTATTTCGTGGAAAAGTAAGAAACAAACTGTTGTGGCTCGATCATCTGCTGAAACTGAGTATCATGTTATGGCCTTCATAACAGCAGAGATAGTTTGATTGTATTGGCTACTTGCTGATCGTTTCTTTACGAAATCTCACACCATCGCACGCTTTTGTTTTCTTCTTAGCAAACTCTTAATATTTGATGTTACCACATCATGAGTTTGAGGGAGGGTGTTAGAATAGTTATTATATTTAGACTTAAGGGTAGTTTAATCATTTGTTTTCTTTTATGTTGCTCTAGTTTAGTTTACTATATAAAAACCTCTTATATGTAATTTTCCTTTAAACTTTGTTTTGACTAATTGTACTTCAATAATATTCTCTTCTTTCTTACTCTTACTTTTCTTTGATTGATCAAAGTTAACAGCATCTGCTAGACGTGCATTGTGTTGGCATTATCTTTAAATAAAATGTCTTTTTCTTGAATCATCACAGCTAGTCAAGGTATTACCACTATGATGCAAAGAGCATTTTTTTTTTCCATTACTCCAAAACTATAACATCCTATATCTGTGTCCTATTCGTGTCTTTTAACCCAACATTTGAGTCCCTTGCCTACAGTATTTAAACGAAGAATAGAAACTCTCCCGTTCTGATAGCTTGGACACTGCCACAGTAACTGCAGTTCAAAAACATAGAGAATGAAATAGAAAGAGGACAGGATCACAGGATGGTAAACTTAACAGCTCCAGAGTAGATGGTAAAAATCAATATATCAAGAGTAGATAAGATGATGCAGAAATGAAGATTATTAATGTGCAGATCCCATAATTACAGCCTTTTATGTTGTTTGCAGATTGGAGATCTTAAGGGGATCTTTGGATTACTAATTGTTAATATTCAAATGCTTAGAGAAAAGTTGAAAGTATTGGATGTCTCATATGGAACTGGGACAGGTAGGTTGCTTGTGTACTTCTCTAGACGTTAAATATCACTGTGCACCTTCAACAAGTTCATTTTATTCCAATTATAATGGCATCAAAGCAGCCAACTATAGAAACATTATATTTTGTAATGTCCTATTGTTTGGTGGTGTTTCACAAAATGAATAACTGGTTGTCACTTTTATCCAGCTAATACAGCACTGATTTATCACCATGGGAAGCTTTTGGCACTTTCCGAGGCAGACAAACCGTGTAAGATTGCTGGCTCTCTTAGTTTTCACGAAAATGTTGGAACATAGAAATGCTATTAGTTCTCATCATATTGTCTGTTTATCCAATGTGGGATTCTTCTATTCTTCATCTGTTTGCTTCTGTTTCTATTCATGCCTCCCATCACAACCCTGTGCGTTCCATTTTGAGTGTGCAGCGTGCAATTTTCAGGTTTCTGATCGTCGGGGGAACTTTTTTTTTTCCCAAAAAAAAAGTGATCTAGTTGTATATGTCATTAATTACAATTGGCACCATATTTGAATGCTTTGTCGTAATTCTTGGGCAAAACTAAACTTTTCCGTGCTCCATCATGCAGATGCTCTTAAAGTTTTGGAAGATGGAGATCTTCAAACACTTGGATTGCTGGATTATGACAAGAGGTTGGCACACCCCTTCACTGCTCATCCAAAGGTTGACCCAGTCACAGGTAAAGTTCATCCTCCAAAAGTGATATCTGGTCATATGGTAATGTTTTTTGTTTTTATTTCTCATGACAATCTTTTCATGCAGGCGAGATGTTTACATTTGGCTATTCACGTACACCACCATATGTCACATACAGAGTGATTTCAAAGGACGGAATCATGAATGATCCAGTGCCAATCACAATACCAGATCCTATCATGATGCATGACTTTGCCATTACAGAAAACTATGCAATTTTCATGGATCTTCCTTTGTTCTTCAACCCAAAGGTTCGGTAACTTCTTTTTCTTTTTCCTTTTTTATTTTGTATGATGTGAAAACTTAATATTGTTCAGACCACTGACGCTAAGTGATGACGTAAACCTCTTTGTCTTTTTCAGTATTTTGGTAAGAAGCTTGGGGTATATTGCTTGTTACATGTATACGTAAACGATATGCTAGTGTAGATTGTGAATGCTATTAAATATAGAAAACATATGGCTTGCAGTAGGTTTTGTTGGATGTAATAGTTGATTCAACCTTCTTCGTTAAGGTAATCAAGTTAATGGCCTTTAAATGTTTAGGAAATGGTGAAGGAAAACAAGTTCATATTCTCATTTGATGCAAATAAAAAGGCTCGATTTGGTATCCTTCCACGGTNTGCCTGGTTTCTGATTCAACCTTCTTCGTTAAGGTAATCAAGTTAATGGCCTTTAAATGTTTAGGAAATGGTGAAGGAAAACAAGTTCATATTCTCATTTGATGCAAATAAAAAGGCTCGATTTGGTATCCTTCCACGGTATGCGAAGAATGAGCTCCTTCTCAAATGGTTCAACCTTCCAAGTTGCTTTATATTCCACAACGGTGAGACACTTGTTCCTTATCTCTCTTTAAATGCCAAAAAGTATATTGAAGATATGAACCATTTTTGAGAAGACAAAAAAACCTGTCGTGATAATTGCTAACATTTTGTGAGCTTCAACCACAGCTAAAATGGTTAGGAAAAGAGACTTCATAGATAAATAAAGTATGTACTTTCAAAAAATAATTTCACGGTAGTGGTTGTTTGTCATGTTTACAGATTAACCAGATACAAATTATTTTGCAAAGTTNTTCTTCTCAAATGGTTCAACCTTCCAAGTTGCTTTATATTCCACAACGGTGAGACACTTGTTCCTAATCTCTCTTTAAATGCCAAAAAGTATATTGAAGATATGAACCATTTTGAGAAGAGAAAAAACCTGTCGTGATAATTGCTAACATTTTGTGAGCTTCAACCATAGCTAAAATGGTTCGGAAAAGAGACTTCATAGATAAATAAAGTATGTACTTTCAAAAAATAATTTCACGATAGTGGTTGTTTGTCATGTTTACAGATTAACCAGATACAAATTATTTTGCAAAGTTACTGGTTGGGGAACTTGCTATGTCCATTGAAAGATGCTAGAAGCTTTAAGTTGTTTCTCCTTGGGGTGCAATGTGGCACAGAGGAGTTTCGGTGGTTCTATGCATTGATGTTTTTCACTTTTTTTGTATCTACTCAACAAGGTTTTTATCATATTTGGTTCAATTTCTGGACTAATAACAAAATTAAACAACCTACTCCTTCCAGATCAAGAAGAATTCCGAATGGTTCTCTCTATCTCTGTCTTGCACACACACTCACACTCATTTATGTGATTGTAATTTTTGCATGAGGTCACACAAGTTCTCAAATTTTCTTAGTTTTTAAATGGATGATGTATTGTCTGATGCCCAAATTAGTGTAGCTGCCTATTTACTGAGATTAATCTCTGATGTTTCATATAATTGAAACTTCATTAGCCACTGACTTTCTATCCATGCAGTCAATTTTCCATGGGCCAGCTATAATGCCACCAATTAATTTCATAATTCTTGGTTACTTACAATCATTTATCTACTGCGTTTTCTGGTTTGTTTTTCTTTTGTGTAAACCAGCCAATGCTTGGGAGCAAGGGGATGAAGTAGTTTTGATCACTAGCCGCCTCAAAAATCCTGATTTAGATACAGTTAACGGGACTATTGAAGACAATCTTGAAATCACAAATGAGCTGTAAGGCACTGCTCGTATAGATACGATGATATTATACCATGTCTCCTAGGTATTTATTGTGGTGGTATACTTGTCAGGTATGAAATGAGATTCGACATGAAATCTGGTCTAGCTTCACAGAAGAAATTATCTGCACCTGCTATAGATTTTCCAAGAGTGAATGAGAGCTACATTGGCAGGTACGTGGCCTTGTCTTTTTTGTTATTGATTCCGCAGTTGGAAATTTGTGTCTTAGGAGATTTTTGATGATCTTAAAGACAATTAGTTTTAGTTACTAGCACGAGCAGGCTAGATGCTCGATGATCTTGTATGTTAAACCCTTCTGCCTATTATCTGTACCATATGATGTCCAATGATGGGTTTCATAATTGTCAAGCTTGTTTCACTAATTTACGGGAGCACATTATTCTCCTAATTTTCTTTGGTGGTGTCAACTGTTTCCATTTGAGACCTCTTCATTTGTAGTAGCATCATAGTCACTGATTATCAAGTCCAAATTTAGGAAACAACGATTTGTATATGCTACCACATTGGACAGCATTGGCAAGATCACTGGGATGGTCAAATTTGATTTGTATGCGGAACCAGAGCCCGAAAAAACAAAGCTTGAAGTTGGCGGAAATGTGCAAGGCATCTTTGACCTTGGAGCTGATAGATTTGGCTCAGAGGCTGTTTTTGTTCCTTGTCGGCCTGGTATTACTTCTGAAGAAGATGACGGCTACTTGTTATTTTTCTTACATGATGAGAAAACCGGGTACCTATTATTCATCTCTTTCATAATTGCATCGAAAGTATAATCACACTTTATTTCTTGGTCATGCACATTACAAGTTCTGTAAAAGAAATGGAAGTTGGAGTTTAGAAATCCTTCGATAGCAGCCAGTTGAACTCAAGTATTCAGAAAATCTTCTCACGACTGAAACTCTTAAGATTAATTGATTCGATGCGAAGACATTCTGATTATGATTTCTCTTTTTTACTTTTTCAGAAAATCAGCAGTGAATGTAATTGATGCGAAAACAATGTCAGCTGATCCTGTTGCAGTTGTTGAATTGCCCCATAGAGTTCCGTATGGATTCCACGCCTTGTTTGTAACAGAGGTCAGTTGAAACTCTTGCTCTTCATATTTCTGTTTTCCATCTCTCTTTTTCTTTTTATAAAAGATTTGCTTGTTGATTGCAAAGGGATTAAGGTTAATTTGTGAGTGGTTTAAAACAAAACTTTGAAGGTAAAGATGCCAAGAAACTCAGATATCTGACTTACCGGGGAGATAAAAAAATTCAGTCTGGTGATTATACTTGTAGTGATGAATTGTATAGTATGGGTAATGTGGTGCTTTATGATTTCCATAAGGAGCCGCCTACTCTTTAAAGGCCTACCATTAGATGGGATTTTTAAGATTTATGAATCGGTCTATGTTACTTATCGTTTCCTTTTCTATCTATGAATCAGCATTAGTTTTTCTGTTCGTTTTCTTGTGAGGAAAGTTGTTGAGCAATGAAAAACAGGAGTATGCGGTTTGATTTGTAAGAAAATCCTTGACTGTCAAATTTAGTCTCCTATGTGTATTCGAAATGGCTCTACTCAATCAAGACGCAAGCTAGATTGCATTTGGTCCGACAGTTAGGAGGATATAGGAAATGATCCTAAACGAGTGATTGTGTGGTTCATTGGTAAAAAAGATGTTGGGATAGCAAGTGTGACGTAATGAGTTTGAATGCGAGAGCAATCGTTTAGTGCAAATAGTGCTAGACTTGCGTTAAACTTGAACCCTGTCCCCGGCAAAAGGAATTGTCTGTTGAAATTGGACTCTCTTTTTTTAGGTTGGAGGAAAATGTTTGCCTTTCTACACTGAAGTTAAATTTTTCTTAGAAAATTGGCATATACAAAGTAAAAAAACTACTTCATATAATACATTTTTCAACAATTGAGATCCATCATCACTACCACACTAATAAGAAGCTTTTGTACAATGGAATTTTCATGCTCCATAGCTATTCATTAATCTTATATTTGTGATTCTTGCATATTTAGTTTTCGAAAAGTTGCCACGTTAAAACTCTTGCCCCTGCATTAATGAGTATGCTATCTCCCTCTACTTTCTATGCAAAACTTAATGTGTTTCATGATCTATTTATTATACAGGAACAACTTCAAGATNGATCCTTAGCTATTCATTAATCTTATAGTTGTGATTCTTGCATATTTAGTTTTCGAAAAGTTGCCGCGTTAAAACTCTTGCCCCTGCATTAATGAGTATGCTATCTCCCTCTACTTTCTATGNGCTCCATAGCTATTCATTAATCTTATATTTGTGATTCTTGCATATTTAGTTTTCGAAAAGTTGCCACGTTAAAACTCTTGCCCCTGCATTAATGAGTATGCTATCTCCCTCTACTTTCTATGCAAAACTTAATGTGTTTCATGATCTATTTATTATACAGGAACAACTTCAAGATCAAGCAAAACTCTGAATCAGTGTCAAGTATTATTACCACAGAAATAAGTTGAAAGAGTGGCCCTAAGGATGGGCCTCTATAGAGTGCAGCAATGATCTCCTCCTCAGTATGCTCTGCAAGGGCAGGATCTGAAGATGTAAATTTACTTTTGGCAATCGAGGAAGTTAAAAGAGTGATACTGCNAATATTTTTACCACAGAAATAAGTTGAAAGAGTGGCCCTAAGGATGGGCCTCTATAGAGTGCAACAATGATCTCCTCCTCAGTATGCTCTGCAAGGGCAGGATCTGAAGATGTAAATTTANAGTATTATTACCACAGAAATAAGTTGAAAGAGTGGCCCTAAGGATGGGCCTCTATAGAGTGCAGCAATGATCTCCTCCTCAGTATGCTCTGCAAGGGCAGGATCTGAAGATGTAAATTTACTTTTGGCAATCGAGGAAGTTAAAAGAGTGATACTGCTCTGTATTATGTTGCTTATAATTTGTCTAGAGGCTCTGAATTCAATTCGTCTTTTGACTTGCTTGGATGTGTTTCAAGGGACTTCTGCCCACCATAAAAAAAAATACTTAGAAAATGTGGGAGTGGGAGGAGGAGGAGATGAAGTGGGATTTTCGTTCATTGCAGAATCTTAGGCTAAAGATTTACAAATTCATTTCAGGGGTAAGGCTACAGTACCGCGGAGGACTATGCCCAAAAAAATAATTTGAACAGTTGATTTTGATTTAAATGATTTGCAATCATTGACAGCAAAAATGGCAAAATAATTAAAAAATATCACTGAGTAAAATGGTGAAGAGGTAACATATTTTTATTATTCAAAAATTAGAGGCACGGTATTAATAAGTATATTTCAGTACAATAACAATCCTCTCAATTCTAGTGTTTGGTTTGAGCCTCCACTACTTTATTTTCTAGCATCATGCCTCTCACACAATAGACCCCTTATGGGAAAGGCTTGCGGTACCGCTGGTGTTATGATACCAAAATTTATAACTTTTTAAAATTAATTTATTACTTTTTTTGAAGTATAAGTAACAACTTATAAAGATTATGATCGATCATAGAAGATTAAAATTAATACCAAAGTTATAACTTGGTTATGTTACAACTTTCAAATGTAAAGTATAACTTGAAAAAGAAGAAATTATAATTGCTCAAAGGAAGCCCATGACCCACCATCACAGGGAATATCAAAGCCCCAAGCTCTGTGTTAAGGCACATGTTCAAAAAATATGGAATCGTCGTGTAGAAAGATCATAAACACTTATAGTCCTTTTGAGACGAGGGGTACTCCAACCTTGCTCAAAAAAACATACAAAGTTATTACATGTGGAACTCACCCAAAGAAAACAACCGGGGGAGGAAAGCGGTACCAATTTATAGGGTCACCCAACCTACTTCCTGCTGTAGACTAACACCAAACATTCGAAAACATGCACCAGCTCAATCACTTGATTAGCCCGGTCGGCTCATCATTGGTACAATGAACAAGAACGAATCTCCCTCAAAAGACAAGGATACGAAGTGGAAATAGCAAGTCAAATGATTGGACTCCTTCTAAACATTTACCAGAGTACTGAGCTACTTGAGAGGTTATCTAACTTGAGTTATGAGTACAAATGATTTTTTTTTTTCAGTTTTCAGGAAGTGGTAGAAAGAAAAAAAGGAATTAAATCATATACATGTGATCAGTTCCATGTTATCGAAAGTGGATAATTTTGTTCAATTTACCTTGTTAGTCCTTGTACAAATGAATCATCCAAATTGATCAACAACAGGCTCCATTAAAATGATGTCTTTTGAAATAACAGAGACAAGAATGTTTAGTAGTCAAACCCTGCAAACTTCATCAATTGACATTTGTTTATAGAGAGACCGAGAGTCCTACGCGATCCTAACGCAAAAAATGATTGATGTATCATATAGAGCTCATTCAAGGCTTCAACCATTCAAAATGAAATCTAAATAACCCTTCAATCATGAAGGCTATGCACTATAATGCTCCTGAATAATCGGTCTGCACGTTGTTGCAATCACATGACAATTTCGACGACAGACTCCATGAAAGCTGCTTTTAGGAGAGGTGAACAGAACTTGCACAACTATCACCGTAGTTTCCAAAAAATGTGTTTGGCAATTGGTGCATGATCCCACAGCATATGGAAGCCGCAGACATCCACAAGTAGATGCACATAATAAACCAACTGGTGTTGAAACAATGGTACACCCCCAGCCCTTCTCAAGAAGGGGTAACACAACTGAGAGAGCTGATTCCTGCAGCACTTTCAGCAAGATCTCCGCCTCAAAAAACCATTAGTGCAGTTATTGCGGATGGGGAATTCAACACAGCTCTTCTGTTTTCCACAGCTTGTGCCTCTGCAATTTGCCATGGCACCTGAGTACGAGCCCTCCAATCTGCACCAATTGACTGCCACCCAGGGTTTTGACTTCTCTTAAAGCATGGCAAGTGGCTTCCATCCCATCATAAATGTTTGATACACTTTCCTCAACTGAAGAAGCCCCATTGTGTTCACAATATTGAAGAAAAAACACGACTAAAGACTAATTTTGGCTACAAGCACAAGAAGGATAATAATTTATCTTAAACGAAGAAAAACGATGAAGTCACCATCCATACAGAAATTATCATCCAGACTCCAAGACAGTGCAAACCAGTAACACAGTGCAAGCCAGTAACACAGTGTGCACCCTTCCCTACTACCATAATCCTTTTCCCTTTATCAAGAAAAGAGAATGTAAATGTAGCAATACAAAAAGCAAGTGAGAAAATTTTGTTCAACAACAATTCGAAAGTAGTAATGAAAACAACAGTAAAATTGAGAACAACATATCCCTCAGAATGCCTAGTATCAACCTGGCATGAAATCATGGTTCCTCTACCCTCTGGCAATAAGCCAGCAAAAGGGAGCACCATTATTCACAAGTTTCATGCACTATTTCAGATTACTAAATGTCTCATCAATGGGATATGGAAAATGAGAAATTAAACTATAATTGGGATCTAATCAATTAAGAAAGCAAAGATCTTGATCCTGGTAAAATTTAACCATGCAGACTGGTATAATAGATGCACAAAGGAGAAGGTCAAGGGTCTAGGTCTCAGGATTCTAAGGAGAGAATTAATGGCGTGGAGAGCCTTTTTTTTTTTTCTCGGCCGTGGACCACAAATCTTCTTGTTTGCACCATTGCAACTCTAACCTCAACAGCAACAATTTGGATACGTTTACAATTTGCCATTTCAGCAGCAATACCAACTCTAAAGTTCAATCCTTATCATTCATGAATCACCTTTAGCCGTAGTTTCCCCACTACAAGAATCATTCTATTAGTATTTCCAGCTATATTTTCCAAATAGGACTTACTCATTTCAGTCACCAATGAAGTTGCATTAATTCAAGGAAAAAGAAGGAAAAGAATGCAACTTTAAAACTCCAAATGAACAAAACCACCAACAACTATCCTTCAAGCCACACTTGGAATGGGACTATTTATACATAATCTGAGTAACTCTCTCAAGAAACACCCATTTAAATTTGAGAAAGGGCAAAAAGATTGTTTTGCATAGAAATGGCATTTCTTTTAATTTCTGAGTCTTGTAAGTGTAGAATTCACATCTAGGGAAATACAAGAAAAAGGTAAGTGTAGACTTCACACTTCACAAAGAGAATACCTAGGCGATACACAAAAACTTTCCTTTCCCTCCATCGTTGGATGTTTTGACACTACAAGTTTACGCAATCAAGCAAATCTTCCAAGAAACTCTCGTTTCTACTCCAAATTCCCCACTCATACACAAAGAATGTGTGTATGAGAGAGAGAGAGAGAGAGAGAGAGAGAGTACCCATTTTGTTGAGAAGTACATTTGCGACGCCGTGTTCTGATGGTATTAGGGTTTCGTTTCAGAGATGTAACAATTTGTAAAGGAGGACAGGGGAGACGGAAAAACTAAATTACAATGAAACCCCTTTTAGTCACTGGCTATTATACTGAAACACCCCCCTTTTTTTTACTTGGTACCGCAACACTCCTCTTAATTTAATTTAGGATAAATTATAAATTATACCCTTAAAGTATACATCTAATTATCATTTAATTTTTGAAAGTTTCAATTGCAACAATTAGATCCTTTAGAGATATAATTGTGTTTCAACTTAGTCCACAAAAAACAAATAAGGTATTTACAATGAAACCCCTTTAGTTCCTAACTATTTTATTTACACCCTTTTTTTTTTGCATTATGGCATGTGATTTGCTAGCGGTTCTGGCTTTGACTGTATCGTCAGAAATAGTTTTTTTTGGAAGAGGGCCAATAATATTCGACACATGATGACTTGAATCCATCAACAATTGAAGCTTTAGTATGCCTCAAAGATTGGATTCTCGCAGATACAAGGATTCATGAGGAAATGAGAAATGAAGAATTAACTCAACAATGAATGGAAATGAACTTACAAAGAAAAGATAAGATTGGGTACCCGATAGTTCACCCAAAGAAGATAATTAGATTATATTTCATAGTTATTTTCCTGATTTGATATTTAGTCTGTAACTTTTAAAGGATTGAGGCTTGCAAATAATTGACAATTGTGTAGGTCCCAACTTAATTGAGATTGTACTCAATTTGTAGTGATGCAAAATAGTCTCAAACATCAATCAATATAACATTGTAATTCTTGATGAATATTTATTAAATTCAATTAATATGAATTTTTGTTAATTTATTTTTTATATCCAATTTTATGAATTTATGTTTTTTTTGTAATTTTTAGATAAAAAGTTAAATTTTGTATACAAAAGCTCGTTTGAGGCCCAGATAGTTGCCCGCTAAAAGCCAAATTTTGGCCTAATAGGCCAGCCCTGGGCTATGGGCTTCCCTTTTCCAACGGCGACCACACCTGCCCATTTGACTGGTCAAAGTCTGTAGGCCCCGCCCAACGGACGGGCTATGGGCCAAGTAGATTGGGCCGGCCTGGTCCGTTGTCGAAGCCTAAGACAAGGGAGAAAAATATTTTTACGTGCAAATCTTATAACATTTTTCTGTCGAAATGAATTAATAGATTTGAATGCATAGACTAGATTAAACTCAAATAAAATGACAAGGAATATAAGCCCCGTCATGTGTGCTTTATAGGAAATTGAATGTGTGGTTCATATGGTGTGTGTGTTCTATGTATGTGTGTGTGTGCAAATGGAGGTTAGTGTGGTTTTAGTGTTTGTGTGGGTATTATGGTGATGGTGAAGTAGCATCGTGTGGTGACAGCGTTGGGGATAATGATGTAATGGAGTGATGGAGATAATGAAGTAAATAAAAGAGAATCAATTTAGTTATTTTGGACATCTTTATAGAAGATCTAATAACACATTCATGGGCAGAGTCAAGTTTCTCAGTTAGAGGATAAAAAATTACGAAAAAAGAATTATCAATTGATACAATAAAATTTTAGGTCTAATAAAATATATCAAGTTTTTTGAGTAAATTAGAATATGAAACTATAGAATCAACTTCTTCTTTTTTTGTCTAAACAAAATAGATAAAAAAAAAATTTAAATAACATTTCAATCCAATCATTTATGAAAACAGAACACAATATTCTTTCAGATCTCACTCATAAGTTCCATGACAAAATTATCCCTCATTTTTTTTTGCGATACTTAGTTAAGATTATCCTTCGTCTTATTAAAAAATTAAATATTTGAAATAACAAAAAATAGTTTTGAATCAAAGTACAGGCTATTATCTTTCAAAAAAATAATTGAGAGCACTTGTACAATTGTATATAAAATAATAAGAGATAATTTATCAAATAGAAATGATGTAATGTCGTAGACCATTATGATATTTTGCATACATCTTGCTCGATTCAAGAATAAAAAATGGTTTTAGAGGGTCAATGGACCACTAATTATACTATACAAAGTTTCAACAAGTAGGGGGCAAATTCTTAAAATGGACAAATTTATGGTCCCAAATTACTGCCATATAAAAGGACCAGTTATTATCCGTGCCTGAAGGTACAAAGTAATAAAAAAATTGTCAATCATAAATATATTTGTATTCACACCTAAAATTAAATCACAAACATAAATGAAGAAAAAAAAATTTAAATGTTGATTGTAAAAAAGATGAGCAGTGGCAATGTTGGGGCGATAGTGATTGTGGTGAGAGACAGTGATGATTTTAATGGGCAACAATGCTCGTGATACTAGTGGCAATCGTTGGTGGCAAAAGTAATGATGGTGGTGGATTTTTGGTGATGATGCTGATAGTGACAACTATGGATAACAGTGGTGGTGGTGGTGAGCCAACGACGATAGTGGTGACGGTAATGAATTGTGGTGGTGGTGGGTGGTGGCGAATGGAGGTAATGGGTGGTGGTGGTTACAGGTGTGGGAGATAGTGGCTGGTGACGGCGATGGCAATGGGCGATGATGAGTGGTGGTAGGTGGTGGCAATGGACGTCAGTAGTGGTAAAATAATAATGATAGTGATAATAAATATAAGAATAAAATGATGATAGTGTTAAATGATAACACTGAACGATAATGATAATAATAGGTGATGAGTGACGATGTCGACGATAATGGTGGGCGGTGGTGGCTGTGTTAACGAAGAATTAATTTGTCAATGTCCTCAATTTTGAGGCTGTCGGTAATATCATACCAGCAAATATCTTATAAGAGGAGAGAATGCTTAAAAAACTCAAGGAGTGTATATTAAATTATATCAATTAATAGTGTATATTAGTGATATTTTCCNTCGGCGGTGGTGGCTGTGTTAACGAAGAATTAATTTGTCAATGTCCTCACTTTTGAGGCTGTCGGTAATATCATACCAGCAAATATCTTATAAGAGGAGAGAATGCTTAAAAAATTCAAGGAGTGTATATTAAATTATATCAATTAATAGTGTATATTAGTGATATTTTCCCTAAATTATTTGTGGTTTTAGTGACAACAACGTACCTAACATTTTTAATAGAGGTTTTCCACTTTGTATGTTAATCTTTTTTCTTTTTTTTTAAGTTTTTCACTATACTTTTAAAGATTAATTTTTTTATATTACACCTTCAATATATTAAAAATAGTGTAATATGACACTTTTATTAACTTATATTATTTTTTNCCAACATTTTTAATAGAGGTTTTCCACTTTGTATGTTAATCTTTTTCTTTTTTTCAAGTTTTTCACTCTACTTTTAAAGATTAATTTTTTTATATTACACATTCAATATATTAAAAATAGTGTAATATGACACTTTTATTAACTTATATTATTTTTTTATCAGAAGTCAACCTATTTATATTGATGAAAAATTAACAAAAATGTCGTATTGTAATAATTTTAATACATTAAAGATATAATATAAAAAATTTAATATTTAAAAATAAAACANTTTATCAGAAGTCAACCTATTTATATTGATGAAAAATTAACAAAAATGTCGTATTGTAATAATTTTAATACATTAAAGATATAATATAAAAAATTTAATATTTAAAAATAAAACATAAAAAATTTAAAAACTTTGAAAGTGTAAAATAAAATTTACCATTTTTTAAAATGATGAACAACTTGTGAAAGTGTCCATATGTATTTGGGTTTTCATCATCACAACAAAGTACTACAGTCGCCTGGAAAACTCGTGTAGTGATCAATTCCAATTTCAGTCATAACTCGTAATAATTTTTTGACCGCACTATATATATATATGATGATCAAATTATGATTTTTGTGCTAATTAAGTTTTTGAGTTAATTGACTCACTAAACTCGTTAACTATAGCAATTGAGCACTTCTATTTGCATCTGTTAAAATTTATAACAAAAAAGTGACAAAGTGTGTCACTCATATGACACTAAAGAGTGGGAACAGTCACATTGCCATCCCGGATCACATAAGGTAGGCGTCGGACCAGCCGCCAAGACCTTAACCAATTAATCATGTACATAATAAATATAAAATACAAAGAAAAATAAATAATAAAATGATATAATTCATTGATCTAATGAATATCAGAGGAATAAACTAAACATCACCTACATCATTANACATAATAAATATAAAATACAAAGAAAAATAAATAATAAAATGATATAATTCATTGATCTAATGAATATCAGAGGAATAAACTAAACATCACCTACATCATTATTAAATTCATGTAAAACAATAATTAAACCATAAGGTTTACTACTCTGAGCATAAGCAACATTATTCCTAAAATAATTGAATATTTGTCTCAAAACTATAAAAGACATTTATTCCTCAAGATCTACAATAAAATAAATTTTCAAGTCCTCTAATCCCTTGTATATCAGTAGACTTACTCCACGCTCTGATCTTCTCCTAAATAATGTTAAATGTTTGGGTGAGCACAATGACTGGTGAATAGAAATCACCTCTAATGAGGTGCGAAAATAAATCTCACAGTTTATATACGAAAATAAATTTTGATATACACATAAGTACAACAAATTATACCCTAACCCCTCCCACATAATTATGTGAACAAAATGAATACCATGATCACAAATAATTTTATAAATGAAAAGATATTTATCCCAAAACATCACTCACTTTCACAAATAATTTTATAAATAAAAAGATATTTATAACCCAAAATGCCCACTCATTTTCACAAATCACTTTATAAATGAAAAGACATTTATAACTCACTCACACACACACACACATTCAGTTTCAAATATATTCGTCAAACTATGTTTGTTATCACTAGCCTAGTAACTACCCCCATCTTTTGTCAACACTAGTCTGATGACTGGCCTCTATGTGCACGTCTCTATATTGACTNCTAGCCTAGTAACTACCCCCATCTTTTGTCAACACTAGTCTGATGACTGGCCTCTATGTGCACGTCTCTATATTGACTACGCCGGTATACAATCTCATTACCACTTAGACCTGGTAATCCAGTCCCCGTCTCATAAACATAATTTTCACACACACCAAAATTGTAATTTTAATCCCAACATACAAAATTTCTCTTTCATCGCTAAAACAATGATATAAAATCATCTCACAAGTATTTTCAAAATTTACATGTAAAACAATTCACAATTTTAAAACAATTAATTGCAACCCAAAATATCAATACATATATTATATAGATGAAAAATTCACACGCATACACCTACACATTTAATATAGAAAATTCTTCCAAAAGAAATAATAAATTACTTACCTTGATTCTCAAAATCCAACTCAAAGCTCTCTTTCTCAACGTCAATGCAATCACCACCTAATCCAAAATAACATATATCAATCAACTCATATTCTTAACTTCGTCGTTCCGTGATTCTATATTTATTTTACGTACATCCTACCCATTGATATATACTTAATATATATCTTTTACATATAAATATTCTTTCTAATACGAGGTAATAGGATATAGAAGTAGTCTGAGCAGTTCAGAAAAAAATTTCTAAAGTTTTGAGATCAAATCATAATTTTTGAAACTTTTGGATTTAAAGTATAATTTCTTTAAAAAATGAATTTTCTGTTTTCGGGGCTGCTATTAACTTTCCACAATTCTATTCTTCCAACTTATTAAGTAAAACAACGAGTAAAATTAAGTTTAGAATAATATAAGGGTCAAAGTAAAACTTTTTAAAACTAAAAAAGAACTTGCTATAATTTCTAGAATCCATTTTCTTCGCCCACCCGAAAGTTGCAGGTTCTGCAACTTTTCTTCCTTCTTCCCTTTATTTTTTTTTTTTGCTTTTTAAGACATTAAATAAATTTTTTAAAAGCCTCAAAAATAATAAATATCTTCTAAGTCTAAAAAATCACTTAAATTAACAACTTACAATAAAACCTATTTATATATTCATCAATATTCTTCACCATGAATATATATATATATATAAATATTTATTATTTCTATTTATGATAACGCTAATACCATGTAATTGAATAAATTACAAAATTTACTAAATAATTAATTAATTCATACCTTCAATGGATCCAATCCTTTTTTTTTTTGGTCTATTTCGTTATTCTTTCATTCTTCTTGTGTTTTTTTTTCTCTCTCTCTCCCTCTCTTTCTCGCCCGTGCACGTTGGATTCTCTTTGGCCCACAATNCATCCTTCTTATTCTTACTGTGTTTTTTTCTCTCTCTCTGTCCCTCTCTTTCTCGCCTGTGCATGTTGGATTCTCTTTGGCCCACAAATTTTTTTTTGTCTAACAATATAATGAATATATGAGACAACCTAGGTAGCGGTTCAATTACATATAAGGTGTAATAGTCAATTATTATTAATAATCCCTTTAGCAATAAGGAATTAATATACAATCAGTTCTAGAATTCTAAAATTCTATCCGACTAAGCATATATAATTATCTGATATTTTTTCCCGCAAAACTAAATTATCTCCATTGATTCTAAATCATATCCATAAACCCATAAAGACAAACCCCAAGCCAACACAAAAGTCTAAAATTTCTTAAATCTTATTCACTTTTATTTTTATTATTATTATTTCATTTTTTTATCTTGTGTCATGTGACTTTTAATAGGTCATATGGATTTGGCCACATTGCATCAATATGGATCAAATAGTTCATTGATAATCATGTTTGAATACATATTTTGAGTCCGGTATTATCACATAAAAATAATACGGATGAATAGTATATTTAATACCACATACAACCTTTTAAAAAAACTTATCTTTTTGGTGGGTTTAAATAATCTAATTGGGATATGTTTGGCAAAAAGATATTTTTTCCTTCAAGTATCTCTAGAATATAAATATAACTCTTTATTTTGAGAGTTCTTTAGTAATTTGATGTTTAATTGTTTATACTGTCATTCAATATTTCACCTAAATAAAATATTAGATAAGATAAATGTGGGAACTACTACTTCTTAATACTTGAACTAAACATAAGATAATGAGACATTATCACTATAATTTGTCCAATAACCGGATGGATGAGTAAGGGATGAGTGACATTATCTAATCCGGTCTTTCTTAATGTTTAAACCAAACACCCCTTGAGTATACATTCAGAGATGGATAGCATTGTCTTCCACTTTCCATTAGAAAGTCTAACAGATATAAATAAAAAGACTCAATAACTACAATTAACCAATTCAGGGGCTCATTTGACACTAAAAAAAATTGAGAGGTTTAATTAACAAAGAGTCATAATTTGAGAGCCACACGTGCAATTTACTCAAAAACTCAATTTACTGCATGTGCAATTTTCTCTCTCTGGTCTAAACAGCAGTGTCGTTGTCGGTGGGGTGAAGTGATTCCGAGTGCACTCCAAAGTCTAAAGAGTTGCTGCTGCGTCGCTTTCGTCCCTCGTAAGACAAGCCATTTTTCTATACCTCTATCCAGCTATAGAATCATTCATTTACATACATGCATGTGCACATAGAGAGAGAGAGAGAGAGCTGGGGTGTGCTGTGCTTCCCATTCAGTCTCAGCTCGATTCAAAACTCGATACTATCAATCTCTGTTCATCACTTCATCGATCTCCATTTTCCGACGGTGAAATTCGATCGTGGGTTTTCAATTTCAATCCTTCTTATGTCTCTCTGTGCTGTGTTTGTTGTAAGATCTGGTCTATAGTTGTTTGATCGATCAATCAGGAGGCAGTGCATTGGTTTTTCGCGGAGATTGCCAAAACGCCCGGATCTTTACTTGAGGTACGGATAGAGTAATCTTGTATTCGCATTTTGCTTAATTCCTCCTTTTGGTTGCTGAGAAAACCAAGGCAAATAGAAAAAGAGAGTGAAAACGAATGTACTGACGAATGTGTCCAGTTAACTAAGCGTTAATTTGACTATTCGATTGCTTTGACACANGTTTCTAGTGCAATATTTAGGCGAAAACTTGTAGATGGGGGTAATCTAATTCTTTAATGTCTTTTTGTCAGGCGGTGAGGCACGGGTCTGGGCTGTCAGTTGAGCAAATTGTAGTGGAAAGATTCTGCTTTTGAAGTTGAAGACTGAAAAAGCAGATTCTACTAATGCTTTTTTCTATCCATTTGAAGGTGTTAAACGTTGAGGCATGCGTGTCGGCTACATCTCTTGATAGGACTAAAGTTTGTTAGTTTCAATCCCTTGTTCTTGGCAATGGAATCAGAAGGAGAAACTGGGGTTAGTATTAAATGAAAACAAAGAATAACCTTCAATTTTTTTTCTGACTTTCATGGAATTGGGTATGTTTATTTGTCTGCATCTAACAGTAAATGGCTTCTATGCATGTATAAGGTGAACTCAATGTTGATCAATGATTATTCATCCAGAATAAGCACTGATCAATTTTTGATTTTTTCACTAATTATTGGCAGGGGTATATAGCTTGTTCTACTTTGTAGTTATAAAGAGTATGTAGGTTCTGGTATTACTAGGATTTATGAATTTAGTGGATTGTGATGATTGATTGCTCAGGGGAAGTCCTTGAAGAGCCTGGGTGGTCAGGTCTGCCAGATCTGTGGTGATAATGTTGGCACAACTGTGGACGGTGAATCGTTCGTTGCTTGCGATGTCTGTGCATTTCCCGTTTGCAGGCCATGCTATGAATATGAGAGGAAGGATGGGAATCAGTCTTGCCCTCAATGCAAGACCAGATATAAAAGACATAAAGGTTTGTTCTATATTTGATTGACTACTGTTCATTAAATGTAAGGATAGTAACAAGGAACAAACATGTGTTTATGTGTATGTGTACATGTTTGCTGGATCTATTACGTGTATGGAATATTAGAAATTCTATTCAATAGGCAAAACAGAGCAGTGAATGGAACTGTCTGGTTTGCTGGAATGGCCGAACATTGACTAGAGTTTCATTTTGATTTGACTTTTGTCACTGAGCACAAGGCACAAGCACACATAACTCTACTTGGTTCTGCAATCGGTCATTAATTTGTAAATTGCTACGTACCAACATATTAAACAGTGGTGTACAAATTTAAGACATCTCTATGAATGTAACTTATCATTCTTTCACTCGATTGTAGGAAGCCCTGCTATTCGTGGCGACAGCGAAGAAGCTGGTGATGCCAATGATGGTGCCAGTGGTTTTCGTTACATATCAGGGAATCAAGATGAGAAGCAGAAGATTGCGGAGCGCATGTTAAGCTGGCACATGACATATGGGCGAGGGGAAGATGTTGGGTCTCCAAACTATGATAAAGAGGTCCCCCAAAACCATATTCCGTTGCTCACTAATGGGCGAGAGGTATGTCAATAATATTCTGGCATGTATCCTCTACTTTGGCATGTAATCTTCCAAGAAATTAATGGTAGTATTGTCTCTAGGTTTCCGGAGAGTTGTCTGCAGCCTCACCTGAACATCTTTCGATATCGTCTCCCAGACCTGGTGGAGGAAAACAAGTACATCCACTCCCTTATGCAGCAGATATGAATCAATCACGTATGTCTGTCCTTTCTATTCTTTGTACAACCTTAATTTTTGTGAAGTCCCCTTTTCACCAATGAATTGAGTTTCAAAACAATATTCTTTTTACAGCTAATATTAGGGTTGTCGATCCAGTGAGGGAGTTTGGATCACCAGGGTTGGGCAATGTAGCCTGGAAAGAGAGAGTTGATAGCTGGAAGATGAAGCAGGAGAAGAATGTTGTTCCTATAACAACTAGCCATGCTGCTTCTGAAAGAGGTGGAGATATTGATGCCAGCACGGATGTGCTGGTGGATGACTCATTGTTGTAAGTTCCAGCTTGAGTATATTTTACTAAATATTTGCTGCAATACATTAGTTGAGTTCGATTATCTTTGTGGTTCTTGGTGTCAGCCATAGGAGATCTCAGTTACCAAGAGCACTGGTCTTTTCTTGGGTTTATAACTGTATTAGCTCTGCTGGTTACTATCAGCATCACAAACTCTTTTTCTGATTTTGCGTTTCCATTTGTTGCTACTAATCATAACTGTCGTCATGCTGTCTGTCATTTACGCTTGATCATTTGAGTTTTTTCTGAGAACTTGTCTGGTTCATTGGCATTGATATTTTGTGAAGATAGTCTGATAGTTTCTAGTTAGGATTTAGTGAAATTGTCTAATAGTTTCTTTATCTCAATGAAGATAGGGGTCAGCTTCTGTGGCTGATACTTTGATTTTAACTGATGCAGGAATGATGAAGCTCGGCAGCCCCTTTCAAGGAAGGTCTCTATTTCTTCATCCAGGATAAATCCTTACAGGATGGTTATTGTCCTGCGGCTCATTGTTCTCAGTATTTTCTTGCATTACCGTCTAACAAACCCTGTGCAAAATGCCTATGCTCTGTGGCTGATATCTGTTATATGTGAGATTTGGTTTGCAATATCATGGATATTGGATCAGTTCCCCAAGTGGCTTCCCGTGAACCGTGAAACATATCTTGACAGGCTTGCGCTTAGGTGAGAATAATCTGATGTTGTCCACCTCTATCTACTTTATGCTTCATTTTACATCATTTCAGATCTATGTTCTGTTGGCTTTGATCTTTCCCTTCCTTTTGAAGTCTCACTTAAATTATATGATAACAGATATGACAGAGAAGGAGAACCATCACAGTTAGCTGCTGTTGACATCTTTGTCAGTACTGTTGACCCTTTAAAGGAGCCTCCTCTTGTTACAGCCAATACTGTCCTGTCCATTCTTGCAGTTGACTATCCAGTCGACAAGGTCTCATGCTATGTCTCTGATGATGGTGCGGCAATGTTGACATTTGAAGCTCTGTCTGAAACATCTGAATTTGCTAGAAAATGGGTTCCTTTCTGCAAGAAGTATAGCATTGAGCCCCGGGCTCCAGAATGGTATTTTGCTCAAAAGATTGACTACCTGAAGGACAAAGTTCAGCCATCATTTGTCAAAGATCGCAGGGCAATGAAGGTATGGATTTGATTTACGCAAATGAATGGGTTCTCTCTGTCTTTCACTGCTTCTAATTTATGTTTTTCCATGCACTTGCTGTGCAGAGAGAGTATGAAGAGTTTAAAATTCGTGTGAATGGACTCGTTGCCAAGGCTCAAAAAGTTCCTGAAGAAGGATGGATCATGCAAGATGGTACACCGTGGCCTGGAAATAACATCAGGGATCATCCAGGAATGATCCAGGTAGCCTAAGTTTCACACTTGTAGATTTAATTATGCAAACATGAGATGCTGACGATTACATATGGGACAGGCTGTTAGAATGTCCAATGTCACAGAAACATTAAAAGTCTAGTACACAATTACGTATATCTTTATCTTATGTGCGTCATATTTATTATTTCAAACTTTTATATTCTATCATCTCATTTGTTGTTTTACTCCTTTTTCTGATTCTGTTCTTATTAACTTTTGTTCATGTGCACTTTGAGTCAATGGGCTGTCAAAGCAGCCTTAGTTTTTGTTGTTTCTTCTCAGCACCATAGTTGTCATATCGCGTATCGGAAGCCGCATCATTTTTTAAAAATAATGTATCGTATCGTGCATTATAAGACACGCACAATTTTAATTTTTAAATAATTATTAATATATATATATATATATATATATATACAACGGGGATTGAGAAGTCAACTCTCGCCCTGTACTGTACCACCACGCGCAATAAGCCAAACAAGGCTTTAACCCGAGAAAAAAGCTTTTCTGTCAGCAAGCCCCCCTAACATAAAGGTAAGGGTCCTCATCGAGCTTCAAATCGAGATCAGTGGCAAAGCGCTCCACATGACCCCAATCCGGAGAACACGAAGACACAAGCATGTCTCGCACCATACCCATATGATAACAAGTGATTAATATTCCATCTGGGAACCCTAACCAAACCTGAAATGGGAGTGGTAAGATACCACCGGGAGAGAACGCCACAAGGATGTGGCGATACCAGTGTCTATTATAATGAGGACTCACGTGCTCTGGTTTTGCAGAATATCTACGAAAACCAGCTTCACGAACTCTCATAGAGAGCTGCAGAGACGTCAGTCTAAGATTTCGAAACACCGGCATCCATGCAATCGCATGCCTCGCCGATCGTATCATTTTGACACTAATCGGGGATAGCTCACGACCGTGAATTCGGAATTTCTTCGCGAACTCAAGACCGCCTCTATCAGAGAGCAAAGACTTCGGTTTTGATCACCCCCAAGCGATTGATGACATCCTTATAAACGTCCGCAACCGCGGCGTCTCCGATGACGATATCGTCACCGAGAAGTGCGTATTTACTAAACTTCTTTCCCGGGTATACCTTGTCAGCACAATACCACACCACAAAGTGATGTGATAGAGCGAACAAAGGCCAAGACGAGAGGTACCCTAGAGGTTGTGTCCTGTAGAAAATCGGACAAACATAGGCGGCTCCCCTGGTACGCGGGGGGCTAGAAAGGCATTCGTTCCAAGCCCCGAGAACACCCAAGCAAAGGCTGTCTCTAAATTGAACAGCCCTTGTATTTGATTTTCACTCCCTGAAACGACAGCGGAAAACAATCCGTTGCCGCCGACAGATCAAAAGAACGCAAAACGTCCCATTTTGACAAGCGGCGGAGAGGCCCTTTGCTTGACTTGAGCTCGAAAGAGGTGGGCAGCCAGCGGCATGAATCACTCATTTCGGGTTAATCTCTTGGTCGAGGGCTTTGTTATCAAAAAGGTAGTGGGTTCTGTGCAATTCGAAATATGAGCGCATTGGCTATTTCCGACGCTTCAGCCATTTCGACACCTTTCTTGGGTTCTTTTTTTCCGGGCGCTCTCGTAGCGGTGGCCATATAATTAATAGGTTCCCTCGTTCATAGAAGGGCACGATGATTGAATGCATAACCCATTCTTGATTGAAGCAATCATCAAACCGTAGGAGGGGACTGCTTCCAAAATCCTTCTTCTCCCGCAGTTGGGTAAGGGGGAAGTCAACTACCCTAGAGTACTACCCGGCGACTCCCCTTGCCCGCTTTTGCCCCGATGAAGGCGTTGGAAGTGCTGTTGATTGTGCTCCTCGAAGAAAGAAGGTCAGGATCTGCAGTGGAGTAAGAATCCTCCGTGGAACAATGGTCTAGCCCCCCCTTATATATAGCTAGTCGTTCAGTAGTCTTAGAGAGCAGTTACTCAATGGTCCAGTTGTTTAGCCCTACTAGCGGGAGCCAAGAATGAATCGCAGGCAGCGCACAGCATAAGTCTCTAGACTGCTGTATAGCCTACCGTCAAGGGCCCGGCAAACGGAACTCAGAGCTGCTCAACGCACCACCAGCCCTTGGCACAACGATCAGGTCAAGCAAAGCGCTCCAACCAAAGGGGCGCAGCACGCATATAACTCCTTGATGAAAAAGAAAAAGCAGGGAGTTTTCAAGCTCTTCACATTGTGAAACTGGAATCCTTGAATTGCTTGTGATGACATTCGATTTCGTTCCGTCGGCGATCCTCGTTCTCATGTCTCCTTGTGTTTCTGTTCCTCTAGCTAAGCTAGAGCAATATATTCTAGATTGAAAGAATTACATAAATAGAGTTTCAATCCTTCGCGTATTAGGAACCAGCCCGGTGTTTAGCTATGTATAGGATTTTTCTTGGGATGACTGATTGACTGTAATGGGAATGAGTAGCCTCTTACCCTAAACAAGCGAGCACAATAGAGCTTACAGTTGTCGTCTATCTTCGCTCGATCACCGAACCGTCAGTCTTAACTCCTTGAATCAGTCAGAAAATAAGTAAGTCCATCAATCTGTAGTGGAATAGTCTCACCAGCCCGTAGAATAGTCCAGTAGTGGGTGAGTAGAGTCTGTGCTTTGGTGGGCACCGGGCACACAGCAAGAAGTAGCTCCGTCAACACAGCTCTAGGCGCACGCAATCAGCTCAGGAAGAGCACAACTCTAACTAGCGAAGCGAGGCGATCAGCTCAATTGAAAGAGAGGGCGCGGTGGGCATCAAATTCTTCGATTTCATTTCTTGATCGGAAAGGAAGGGCATTTCAGCTTCCTCACGAAATCATCATCGAAGACCTCTTCCTTTGCGTATTGCTTGATGCGGGATCGCTCTCTTGTTGCGTCCAATAATACTGCTTCTGGGGACAGCTTTGGAACTGGGGGCCTACTTTTCCTGCTTTCTTCCCCAAGGATGGCAGAAAGTGTCTCCCCCTAGTGTGCCTAATATTACTTTCATTTTTCCTACTCTTTCCATTTTCTTTGTTTCTGTTTTGACGTTACCATTTTTCGTTGCCCTAAGAACTCGATCAATTGAATTATCTTCTTTGCTCCTATACTTTTGCTATTCCAAAATGTCCTTCTTTCCTTTGTTTTTCCTCCTTTTCGTTTATCGGGTTTCTCTGAGAAAGTTTAATGAAAACCTGATGTGATGTGTCTTCGTTTATTTTCACGGTTATTGGCCATGTTGCATAGTCGAGAGTTTGACTAGATTTGTTTCTCCATATGGAGAGGCATCCTCCTGTTTTGAAAGGTGTCAAGACACTAGTGCAATTCCGACCATCATCTCATTTTAGGTATTGCCCTCTTTCTTAGAATTCAACATCTCTGATATGTTCTGCATTCATAATTCTTCCTATTTCTCCCGATTTTTCTACATAAATCAGTTCATTCCTAGCTTGAATCTCTTCCTTTTTTCTTTTGACTCCAGCTGCTGAATTTCCTGTTCGAATTCTCCCGGATGGAAGAAAATTCCTCGACTATTGTTATAAGCTATATTAATATATTTGCTAGTGTTTCATTCTAAGCTTCTGCTTAATCTTCTTTGAATACATCCCCA